GAGACAATAATGGTTATTCTCCAAGCAGGATATAGTGTAGGTCTTAAAGGTGATGGTTGTTGCACTAGGTAGTTGCTGCATAAGTTTTGAATGAGATGGCTACAATGCATGTCAGCTTGTCTTGCAAATTTTGAATGAGACAAGGATGGCTTGTAGAGATTCCTTGAGGATTTAAGTACCTTTTAGTTGATTCCTTGTGCTCTAGAATTCTCTAGGATCTCCAGGATGGTCCCTTATTCATAATGCCTCAAATTAACTGAATTGAGGTATATTTGTATACTTTAATTAGGGGATTTCTTAAGAAGATTTATATTTTAAATTTGACATTACTTGAAATGGTGCCAATACATTGCTATTTTAATATCAAAATGTTTACCATTTCGGGAACAATCATGTATTGTAAAGGGCTTACGAAACAAATGTCTAGTGAGGTCGCAATTGTTCTATAAAGTTGGCGAGTTATCAGATGATTTGCATAATAACGAGTGTGCATAGGTGTGATCAGATAGCTCTAGTATATTGCTTATGGCAAAAAAAGGCAAGGACTGGTTTGGTGGCATCTTAGGACATGCTCGATATGGTGACTGCAATCATGGTGAAGTTCACTCTTATTTCCCGACTTTTACTTGCAAGTTGTGTTATCAATGAGGGATTGTTAAACAAGCTGACCAATTTAGCTGGGCCCCATTTGGCCTACATATTGGCTAGGTTGGATGGTTGCCTTGCACCAGTTCAAATTCAATATTATTTTGATTTTGTTGGATTTCTTGCAACAAGATGGTCATTTTGGCAATAATTTTGCACTGTTTTGAATGTTTTTGTAACGCCCCACAGTACACCTAAATAGTACGGTGGAGTGTAACGTTCATAACATAAACATTTTTCCTTTCAAACATTTAATACAACTTCACTTTTTAGAAGATCATATAAAACATCCAACCAAAATTCAATTTATATAACTACGGAAGCAACTTCCAAATTAAAACTCAATATCATATTTACAGAGCCACTAAGGAAAATAAAATAAAAATGGTCCAAAAGTTAGCAGGAGTGTTGCGATAATTGCACGGGGCGTCGCATAGGTTTCAAGCTTTTGCTCATAAATTTGTTGGCTGCAATTTAATTAAAGATGCATTCTCCAAACAAATTCATATGTAGATGAGGTTATCTTCCACTTTGTTTAGAAAGGCCAATAAAAACTCTCTCAAGCAAAAGTGTTTGTAATCATCATCTGCTTTGATTTGTCCTCCTAAATGAAGTGGAGCCTAATCCTATTTTTTGCATGATTTGCTTGAGTGTTGCGGTACTCTTTGATGTAGAACGGGGTATGGGTATGGGGGTGGGGCAAATTTGAAATTTGAATTAATTAATTCCCATATTGGGATATCCAATTAGAGAATTAATTAATGGAGGGGAATTAATTGGAGATGGAATATGGAAAGGGGAGGGGCCGACTAAAAGTGGAGGGAATTAATTGGGATTTGATTTAAAGACTTTCCTAAAATAGATCAATCTATTTTAGTAATTCATTCAAAATTCAAAATTGAATTGAATAAATAATATCAAAGATTCTCAAGTGAGGTTGTATGGAAAAGGAAAGTAGGCTTAAATCAAGAGCAAGAGGGGGGAAAAGGGTGATAAAAGCAAAAATATGGGGAGACCCAAATTTTTGCAAGCATATTACTAGATTTCCTAGGCAATAAGAAAATACTCAAAAAATACACCGTTTATAATATAAAAGGACGCTTAAAACTTTAAATCGAAAGACACATCATAACTTTGACAACTTGAAATGACACATGCAAACTTATATAATAAAAACATAAACTTGCATTTCCTTGAGAAGAAAGATACAAGTGGCGTCAAACTTGCGGAGACAAGAAAGAGGTTAGAAGCACAAGACGAAGAGAGGACAAGCTCGCAAGCTTTCCTAGAGGGAGAGGAAGCATGGAACAAGCTCGCAAGCTTTTCCAAAGAAGGGAGAAAAATCTTCAGGTTTTTGACTCCAAAAATCACATCTTAATCTCTTTTTTTTGTTACAAAACATCTCATATTTATAGGGGAAAAGGGGCAGCCAAATAGTCTTTAAAATCACCTCTAAATAAATCTTAAATTAGGGGAAATGGAAGACCAACAGTCAGTCCAGAACAACACCCAACCAACCACACAAAAAAACCAAAAAAAGGCAGCCTAGGGAACCAGAAACAACAGCTAAAGGGAATCAGAATAGCAGCCAAAGAGAACCGAAACAGCAGCCAACCGGAACAGGCAGCTAGGGGACCGGAAAAGGCAGTCAAAGCGGGAGGAATGGGCTTCACAGGGAATCACAAAAGGCAGCCAAGGGGGAAGGAACCAGCCGTGGGATGGGGGAGCCAAGGAGGAAACCGAAGGGCCAAGGAAAGGGGAAAGCAAGCCATGGAAATGGGAACTAGGTGGGGAAGCCAAAGAACCTTTAGAGAGGGGGGAATGAACAAATATAAATACTCAATTTATGAGCTTAAAAAGTAGTCATAAAGACATTAATGAGCTGAATTTAGTAGAGGTCATAGAAGCTCACCAAAATGACAACCAAAAATATTTTGACCCCCCTTTGCCTACATCCAAGGGTGGCGGGTAGGAAGGGGCCGGCTATGGGAAGAGGAAATGGGGTCTAGGTGGATTAATTGTGGGGGCAAGCAATTAATGTGATTAAGGAATTAAATTTGAATTTAATTTCAGATTTAGAGAGAATTAAGGAGGTTTCCTAAATTAGGTTTAAGGAATAGGAAAGAAATTTTTGAAATTCAAATAATTTTAATTCAAAATAAAAACTTTCCTAACCTATGCTTGGATGTTTCAGGAAACTAATTAGGTGGCAATTTGAATTGGAAATCAAGGTTGGGAAGTTATGATGGCCGGCGGCTAAGGATGGCTGGTGGACTTGGGTTCGGTGGGGGAAGGGCTAGTGGTGGAGGTAAGGCCGGTTTGGTGGAAGTAGGGAGAGGATGGAGATGGCGAATAGGAACCATAAGAAGGAAGAAAAAAAAAGATAAAATATAAAACCGCGAGCCTTGGACTCTTTAGAAGACTAACGGGTGATACGTTGCCCTTCTCCAAGGGATTTCAAGCTACGAGCCCGGACCTATCCTGCAGCTGATGAAAACTCTGATTCCTTCCCATAGGAATCTCACTAACTTCCTCCCAAAAGAACACAAGTGCATAACACAAATTTTTATTTTAATTCCATCATACCTAATACAAGAGGAGCCTCTATATATAGGCCTCAAAAGAAACTAAAAGACAAATTTACCCCTTGGTCTTACATAAGATAAGACTCTTAAATAAAAAAGGGTAAAAAGGGAAAAATGCAAAATTAAATCAAAATACAATTAATAAACTAAAATAAAATGGAGTGATCTTGGCTGTTGATCTTCCACTTACCTCTGAATATTGTCCACCGTCGAATGTTCACATCATTCTCCCGGGGTGGAAAAGAGCTCGACTTCGTCGAGTTTACATCCCGGGCAATCATGCTCTGATACCAAAACTGATGTAGAACGGGGTATGGGGGTGGGGGAAATTTGAAATTTGAATTAATTAATTCCCATAATGGGATATCCAATTAGAGAATTAATTAATGGACGGGAATTAATTGGAGACGGAATATGGAAAGGGGAGGGGCCGGCCATAAGTGGAGGGAATTAATTGGGATTTGATTCATTCAAAATTCAAAATTGAATTGAATAAATAATATCAAAGCTTCCCAAATGAGCTTGTTTGGAAAATGAAAGTAGGCTTCAATCAAGAGCAAGAGGGGGGAAAGGGCCGACTATGAGAAGAGGAAAAGGGGTCCGGGTGGATTAATTGTAGGGGCAAGCAATTAATGTGATTAAGGAATTACATTTGAATTTAATTTCAAACTTAGGGAGAATTAAGGAGGTTTCCTAAATTAGGTTTAAGGAATAGGAAAGAAATTTTTGAAATTCAAATAATTTTGAATTCAAAATAAAAATTTCCTAACCTATGCTTGGATATTTTAGGAAAATAATTAGGTGGCAATTTGAATTGGAAATCAAGGTTGGGAAGTTATCGTGGTCGGCGGCTAAGGAAGGTTGGTGGACTTGGGTTCGGCGGGGGAAGGGCTAGTGGTGGAGCTAAGGCTGGTTTGGTGGAAGTAGGGAGAGGATGGAGATGACGAATAGGAACCACAAGAAGGAACAAAAATAAAGAAACAAAAAGATGAGGATAAAACCGTGAGCCTTGTACTCTTCCGAATATTGATGCGTGATATGTTGCCCTTCTCCAAGGGACTTCAAGCCACGAGCCCGGACCCATCCTGCGGCTGGTGAAAACTCTGATTCCTTCCCATAGGAATCTTACTAACGTCCTCCCAAAAGAATACAAGTGTAGAACAGAAATTGTTATTATAATTCCATCATACCTAATACAAGAGAAGGAGCCTCTATATATAAGCCTCAAAAGAAACTAAAAGACAAATTTGCCCAAGTGGTCTTATATATGACAAGACTTAAATAAAAAAGGGTAAAAAAGGAAAAATGCAAAATTAAATCAAAATACAATTAATAAACTAAAATAAAACGGAGTGATCTCGGCCGTTGATCTTCAACTTACCTTTGAATATCGTTCACCGTCGGATGTCCGCATCACTCATGCCATGGGTACATTGTTGTCTCTTTATTGACTAGCTACCCTTGTATTCGGCAGAGATTATGGCATCTGAAAACTCTAATGCAAAAGCGAAGGTATTATCATTTATGATATTAAAGGGTGTTTTCCATTTTTGCTACTTTGGCCTTTTATTCTATTTATGACCTATAATGTTTATTTAGTTGTGCTTGGCTAATATTGTTTTACGGTAGTAGGCGTAGGGGTCATTCTTTGACCTTGTTAGGGGTCATTCTTTGACCTTGTTTCTTTCTTCCATAGTATTTCTCCTATCATTATTTTTTATTTGACGGGTCACTGATGTTATCATTGCTATTTTATTTGTTTTAATGTAGATGAAGGTGTGGAGGCAAATAAGTGCATTAAGATATTCCTTGGTACGTGCTTATTTTCTTTTTAGTTTTTCTATTCCTCATTTTCTTTAAGGTAGATGATTTTGGTTTGTCATTATTTGACTTACATACGTAAGTATTTGTTTTATGGCTTCACCTAAAAAGCTGCAATATATTATGTTCGTTTAATCACAGTATGTTTTACGAGTTTTGAGCTTCTCCATGATTCATCATTCACGTTAAATTCTAGAAGCAGCATTTCTTTTTCTGCCTTTTTTTTACTTGATTTCTTGATTATGTTGATCAAGTATATGTTTGTTTGTTGTAGCTTGTATCCCAAAGCTTGAAACTATACTGTTTTTAGGGCTTTTATTAATGGGCTGAGCCCACTTTGTAATAGTGTGAGCAGCGCTCCTTCCAGAATTTTGTTCCCGTTACCACAATTTACATCTCCCGCTAAAAACCATTAAAATGTGAACAAAAAGAGGTGCCAGGTATTATTAAAGTAAGGAATCTACTTATGAACAAAGTATAATCAGGAAAATCCAATTAAAGAGTTTTATCTCAAATATAATATTGTCAGCCGAATCCAAGTCGTGTGACTGTAGAAAAAAATGATTTTTTTATCGATTTTTGTCAATTCTGCAAAAATGACAGGAATTAGCGTCCATTCTAGTTTTTTTTTTGACGCTGTGCAAAACTACTGTTTTCAATTATCTTTCTTGGCAAGAGAGGTTCCTTTAGCTGTATGTCTCGAGCTCAATTTACCTCATAATATAGCTAGTTGGTGTTTAATGTGGGTATGTTCTCGTTTAACCGAAATAGTTACTTTAAACATCATGTTAAAGTGATTGTTCTCATGATATATTAAGCAATTAGATATATTTTACATAGGAAATCGGATCTCTTTAGCAATTATTAGTATTGGTCTTACGTTTTTGGTTATGCGTTATTAATTCATTGGATTGCAGTGAGCAGTAAAGATGAAGTAGGTGCAAAAGATGGCTTTTGTATCGACCCAATGGACCTTAATCAGTTTTTTGGTGAAGATGGCAAGATATATGGCTACAAAGACTTAATGGTATGGAATGTTTCTATCCTTTTCTTTCAAGCTTGGCAACCTGTATGTATGGGGCCTTACAACACTTTAAGCTGCCAACTTTAAGGTTCCACCTAGATGTAATTTACGTCCTGAAGTTACAAAAGGGCTTCATTTTGTTTAATGCTCCGTAATCTGTTGGGCTACTACTGCATTGCTGACCTTTAGTCTGCCAATCTTGAGTTCATCATTGATGAGTAATCAGATGTTAATCTCTTATTGTTACGGTGTGAGTCCACAATAAGATGCTAGAGCAGATAGAAAAAGGTTCAGATAGTTCTTTTTGAGGTGACTTAGTGACTTATGAAGCAAATAAAGGTACCCAACTTTGGTTTCTTGCAGTAGATAGATTCCTCTCTTTGGTTTTGCCTTATTTATGCTATGGAAAGCAAGTTGACCTCTCTGATTTTGATTTATTT